AAAAAAAAAAAAATTGCTATAACTATGGATCCCCAATATCAAAAAGGCAAATACATTCATGGCCTAATATTGTCATGATCACTGAAAAGAACTCATAATCCATCTTTAGAGAGTTATGAAACAGTTATTACTGATACCTATAATCATGGCCTTTGAACATGAAATATTTTGCCTTCTCAATGACATATAGATTCATTTGATTTCTTGGGAAATCATCTCCTGTATTACTGTATAATCCTGTTCTCTTCTTTCCTGTGCTAGCTAAGATGGTGGGGAAGACTCCAGATGAGCCTTCTGTCGCTGAGAAAGGAGTTAACTACCTTCTTCACTTGAGGTGCTATTGCTACAGTTTTTCCTCCTCTGGCCATAGATTATTGGAACAGAGACATGCAGGAAGATTACAGTTCACTGTCAATTCTTGTCTGGGAGTAATATTCATGACTCTAGTCCTTAATATAGCATTTTCAGGTGCCTCATTCACCTCTTCTTTGGAATCATCTTTTTAGTACCTTATATCTTTCTGGAATAATCCTCTCCATTTGTGAGACAGAAAGGATTTATTTGCATATGTAAATTAGGAGAGATAACAAAGATATAACAAAGTTACAAAATTAGAAAAATGTCCTCAGGAAGAAGTACATTAGACTGAAAGTTTTCCCATCAAATAGTTATCACCTGTACATAATTATCTTCAATCTCATAAAGTTATTTCCCTTTGATTACGTAACATGAATTTAATTTAAGCCTCCTAGATTTAACTGTTCTATGTCCAAAGGCCGAGATTATAGGTATCAATAATTGTTTCATAAATCTCTAAAGATTTGTTGTGAGTTCTTTTCCGTGATTATGAGACTATTAGGCCATGAGTATATCTCCCCTTTTGATAATCGGGGATCTATAACTACAGCAAATTTTTTTGTATTATTTTACATCAAATCTGAAGAGTCTGAGTTGGCCCCTATGCTGTTCTTCCTCCCTCTTTTTCTGGAAATAGCATTCATGTTTTTCCAGAAAGCAATGTAGTGGGCAGAGCACAAACTTTGGAGGCAAATGGTCCTCTGATTGATTCACTGAACTGCCACTTACTGTGGAGACAATACTACTTCAAGATCTTGGAAAGTTTTAAATTATAAATTCATGTTATATAGTGAAAAGAAAGTAACCTCTTAAGGTTGAAGATAATAATGTACAGGTGATTATGCTACTTGAAGCTATAAAATAGGGTGAACAGGACAGGGTAAATGGACTAAACCACATGGGAGAGTGACTGGGAAACTGGGACTTTGGAAATAGAAGTTTGCAAGATGGCCATATAAGAAAGGACAACTTCTG